ACAAAACAAAGGATTGTTTATAACGTGAAGGTACTAGCACAATAACTGACGTCATCAGTTTTCGGTCAGTTGTTTGCGCCAGCGGTCGTAGTTTAAAATATAAACTTTTGATGCAGAACATTAGGTATCATATTTTGGTAAACCTGATAGGCAAAGCGAAAAATGCAAATGACATCTAGAAAAATTTTGTTTCGACATGTTGATTAATATACTAAAACCTAGTGGTGGCCGCCTGACGAAAACAACGATTTTTTTTAGCTTATTTACGTTGTGTTTAGATATTGCTTAAATTTATTGTCTATGATGGAGTACATTCTCTGAATTTATTTATAGATTTTTAAGAATACGCAATTTTTTTCTGTGCAGCATCCTATCTAACGATGACAGTTTCTGACTACTGTGAGAACATACCTACTTTCAAGGCGCTTCAGTCAATTTGAATTAAATAAATAATCACTTCAGTCACTTCGATAACTGGCCCTTATTCTCGAAACAGGGAAACAGTGCTCTAGAAAACCAGGGTTCTGTCTTAGTCGCCAATATTTATATTTTCATAATACTGACAATGACAGAGCAATCGTTCTCGAGAGAACGATTGTTTCCCGGTTTCGAGAATAGACGTCGGGAGATTGACGTGAAGGCGAGCAAGCGAAGCAAAATGTATCAAATTTGATTTTTATTAAATAATGCTCTATTTTGCTTGTCGACATGAATCACTCTTTCCAGCTACTGTGTATTTATTTATTTTAAATTTTATTTCGTTACTACGAAATTAGATAGGTACCTACTGGTACCTACCTAATTATTAGGTAGGTATAACAATTTTAATGAGAAAATTTTGAATAGATATTGAAATATTAAAAGCTTTTGGGCTTTTCCGACAAAATATGCAAGCAGGATTTCAGGATCATCAGATAGGTATACTGACTTTCTTCTAGACTTTTCATTCATGAAATCGCCACCTCGTAAATTGTTTTTGTACATTCTCCGTATTTCTCCGGCAGCATGCAAGGAGGAAGTTTGATTTTCAAAATAAAATTAGGAAGAGGGTTATCTATTTCTTTAGCTTACGTACCTATTATTTAATTAAATTGCGTTCGACAATTTCAAAAGTTATTAGTTAAATAAATAATGTTCCTAGCAAACCATGAAGAAATCATAGCCTATAAGCAGTTTATCTACCCATTTTTAATGGTCTATACAAAAACAAACCAAAATTGGTTCAATTACCTTACCTAATTATAGTTTTTAAGGTATCGTAGGTTACTTTATTAGATAATATTTCTAATGAATAATGCTATTTCATAAAAAACGTGTGTACCTACCTGAACCTATATGCAACTTGGTCAAGGTAAGAGCAGTAAATCCAGCTCAGCTTTATCTCAACTTTTATATTGCGTTCGAAAAATACTTTTTTTCACGCCATCTGACGCCTGAATAACTAACTACTTTTGTGCTTACTATCTATTCTTACAGTATTTGTCTTTTTTGAGTACCAGTTATTGAAAATACGTTCGCCACAGTGCCAAGAAATTGTCAAGAAAAAATTGTTAATAATGGTGAAGGTAGGTACAATTCTTTATAGTCAAAAACAATGAAAGGTAGGTTCTACATGCGTTTAACTTACCTTGCTTGATTAATAATTATTTTGGCTTGTTTTGCAGCATTTGATAGCCTTGTAATTGAAAATATCGCAAAGATTGGCTAAGATTTGAGAGTTATTGAAACGAGATGTTTTAAACTTTCTCCAAACTGTAAGCAATTGTAAATAACCAGTAGGTAGATTTCACCAACAATATTGAAGTACATAGGTACCTAGACATTTGTGTATCACCAAAAATATTGAAAAGCACAAAAAGCATAGAAAGTGCTAAGAAAATTATTATGTTGAAAATCCCTATAGGATGACAGTAAAAACACTAGAACATTTAGCAAAAAAACACTGAAAAAGGAAACAAAAAAATACCAACGTATGGGTTGCTCAAAAAAAAAAAAGGAGAAATAGGAGCAAAGGTTAAAAAAAAAAACAAAAATATATTTAATTGAAAATAATTATACAAAAAATAAAAATAAAAATTGGGAACATCATTTAGAGAACTCACTTCACGTTGTAAATTCCATTATTTTTAAATGTTTATTGGCGGGTTTTTTTAGAGTTTTTTAAAATGTATTATTGCACTGCACACTCTCTTTCGTTAGTTATTCCACTACATTCCGCTAAAGTCTCGCCGATTTTCTTAATTTTCGAGGAACGCACATCCTCACCCTTCAACCGCTCGCGCCCGACTGAAACTGAAGGAAGCTTAGCTTCGCGAACGAAATCTCACGAGTCGATCCGAAGGAACGAACGAAGCCGAGAAAAGACGACAGACTCCGAGAAGCAAATATTTAAGACGCTCCACGTTGAGACAGACGCCCTCAACGGCGTCAACTAACTGGAGACGGCACGAGCGTCTTTACGACGGTAGTCGTCGCGACGACGGTATCCCTACTACTTTTTTGGAGAGGCGTCGCATCTCTCTCCGCAAGCCACGCCTTCATCTACCGAGATAGTAGATTGAGAGTGTAGTCTTAAAAAGGCGAGCGAGCCGGATGAGTTAGCGAACTTAAAGTATCTAATTTTCTAGTTAGCAAATGAGAATTAATTAAGACTTCGTTCGTTGAGATGCATCCTCTTTATGGCAACCAAGCCAACCACATTTAAAAAAAAAAAACTGTGTTGCTCTAGTGGATGTTTTTTTGGGAATTTGAGTACCTATTTTTTTTCCGACTTGAGCCGCTTCTAGGCAGCGTCATCCGTATTGTGATGTTTTTGACATTTGATTGAGTGTTTGGTTCTTTTTATGTAGGTATATGGAATAGGTATGGCCCGGTACGCGTACAATCGAGGTTCAAACACTCCTCGAATTCAAACTCGACTGCCATTTGAAATGCATTGCTGCCATATGTGAAGATTTTTGACAGCAAGCATTTTATATACCTATAAGAGTTTCAAGGGGCAGTTGAGCTGCTTTGAGTTGAGGAACTGTTTAAGAAGTTTTTAATGTCGATTGTACACCCGGGTCTGAATCGCATAAATGTATTTCTGGTATTATCGGAAAATTTGAATTCTATGGGGTACCTTCACTTTGGTACCTATCTGTCTTAGTTTTTTTGGTGATTTATGGTTTATCAAATGCCTAGGTATTTGACAACACAACAAACGATTTATTGAAGGATTTGCAAAGCTGGCAAAACCATTCACAAAATACCTCAAGAAAAAGCTTTTTCAAATATTTTTTAGTTTTCTTGTTAATTGGTTTATTGGTGAGTACGTGCCCTGACGTAGGTATATATTTTTTTTAGTACTAAGTAGTTAATTATAGTAATTATACGTTCGCCACAAAGTCAAGGACTGCTTAGGATTTTTTTACTTTGGCAAGTAACGAAATTAATTCTCACCTTAATAATGGAGAAGCGACATTAATTAGCCTAATAGGTAATTTTAATTTAAAGACTGCAAATTTGGAGTGTTTTGCGTATTCTTTTCAGTAATTTCTTCTGTGCCAAAGAGTTTTTTTAATTATTCTCGAGAACCTATTACTGTCTTTTTCAATATGTTTATTGTCGTTGATTACTACAATAATTGATTTTCTTAGCACCAGTCAATAACATTGAATATACCTTCGCCATAAAGTCAAGAAATGTTTGCGATTAATTTACTTTTGGCGAAGGTGCCAGTTTTAGACTAAACAAGAATTTATTTATTACCTTGAAGAATGAAATTGTAAAGCGGAACCAAAAGCAAAAGGGTCGCTAAATAATATTTATTTTAACGTTTTTTTTTAGTAATCTAGCTAACGACCGTATAAAATGGTTTTATTATTGCCTTTACTAAGTAGTCTTTTTGATTGTTTTCCAGTGATTTTTTGGACTTTTTTGGTGACAGTTGTAAGTAAACGAGGCAGGAAAAAAGCCATTATTGCTGATCATTGTTTATTTTGTGATTTTAGTAGGTACCAGTTAATTTTTAAAAATAAAAACATGCGCTATAGAGTCAAGAAATTCACAGGACAAATTCTAGTAATGGCGAATTTTAAAAATTAGAAAAGCACAAAGCACTAAAAATTGAACGAGAATTACAAAAATATCAGTCAAAAAAAATATAGGTAGGTATTGAATTTAAATTAAAATCTGAAAAAAAAAAAAAATATACCTATCCGATGGCAAATAGGTATTTCAGATAACAAATAACGGAAAATTTAGTGTCTTCATAGAAAAAAAGGGTAGGTATAATAAGGGGAAAAAATAAAAAACAAAACCAAAAATCTACTTATATTACAAAAATAAAAATACTATTCGAAAAACAAAAAAAAAAAAATTGAACTTTAATGATTGGCTTCATTAAACAATAAACCGTGTCCCTAGAATAAAAAAAATATGCATGTACCTACTACCTAGTTTCAATTAATAAATAGGCTCATCTTTAATTTTATCAAGACACAGACAAAGTAGGTATTTAACAAAAAAAAATAAACAGTTTATATAAATTACAAAAAAAAAAAAACTAGGTACTCCTCTAAAGGTCTGGTCTCACAGAAATCACAAATCAGAGCGTTTTTGAGTGGTGCAAATCGCCAACAAACATAGTTGTCTGACTATTTTCAACCAAAGAAATTCGCTCCGACTGATATGGTTTATGATTTCTGTGACAACAGACCTTATGAAAATCAAAATCAAAACCAAAACAGTAAAATTAAGTATAAAAAAAAAATCAAAACAACAATACAGAAAAAAGATCTCAATATAATGTAAAAACAAAAAACGATCAAAAAAGAGTCCTTCCAAATATGTAGGTACCTACTTATGTAATTAGAAATTCAATTATGAAACGAAAAAAAATTGAAAAATAAAGAAAAAAAAGAGTACCTATCTTGAAATTAAAAAAAATACATCAAAAAATCTTCATTGGCAAAATAAATAAATTTCAAAAAATGAGGAAAAAGTTGAAAAAAACTCACTTCACATTGTCAACTATTCCACTTTTTTCACCTTACAAGTCCTTTTTCCACTGTTTTTAACAATATTTCACTGTCCTAAATGTATTATTATTGCACTGCACAGTCTATTCCACTACATTTTCCCGAATCTCTTATTTTTTTTTAACTTATTTTCGCGAGTTTCTTGAGGAGCGATAAGCGCACATCCTCACCCTACGAAGCCTCGCGCCAGACTGAAGGAAGCTTGGCGACGAAGCCGACCGATTAAATCCGAAGACTCGGGCTAAGACCGAGGAAAGACGAACGCAGCCGAGAAAAGACGAAAGGAATATTTAAGACGCTGACACGTCGCGACGCTTCGCCCTCGACAACTGGAGACGCCGCCCGACGCCCGAGCGTCTTCACGACGTCCTCCGTGCGTCGCGACGATGCTATCCCTACTACTTTGAGGCGTCGCCTCTCCCCTCCAATTCTCTTTTGCCGTTTAAGGCCCCGCCTACACAACACAGTAAAGTGAAGTTTAGAGGGGAGGCTGTTAGTAGGGGAAGGAGAAAAAGGAGTATGAGGGAGAAGGGGATGCGGGCGAAGGAAGCGGGAGGAGAGATTTTTAAGATTTTTCTTTGTGGAGAAGTAGGAGAAGGAGGATGAAGAGAGAACGGAGGCAAATACATTTCCGGTTTATTTCTGTTAGTAAAGTGATGATCGATGATCGTAAAGTGAAGTTTTTTCCCCATTTTTTTTTTCCTTTCTACTAGCTGGCGTGTGTATTGTAGGGTGTAGATAAGATTATTATTCTTAAGTCTTCTTTTTTCATTTCACTGATTGAGTTAATCTAATAATTAATTCAATCAAAACAATTTTTTTCAAAGAAGGTATTGTTGAAAAGTCTTCAAGGATTTTTTAATTTAAAAAAAAAAACTTTTTTTCGAATTTTTCTAGAATTTTCAACAGTTTTTCTAGATTTTTCTAAAAAATGTTTTAAACTTTTTTTCACTTACCTATGACTTAGTGAAAATTCTCAAAAAATTCTAGAGACGATCTATCAGCGTGAGAAAAGATGTTCAAAAAAATCCCACGATTACAAATTCAAGAGACAAATTCATTAGGTACTACTTAAGTCTCAAAAAATCATAGGTATCTAAATAAATTTGAAAAAATTTCCATAAAAGAGGGTGAAAAAATAAATAATATATTTTATAAAACCTGATTTTAAAAATAATACCTAAGTAGCATGATGAATCCTATGAGAGGTATACTAATCTATGTAGGTATCTACTAACCTATCTTTAAAAAAAATTAAGTTTCTTGATGAGTTTTTTTTCTTGATTTGTTCGCAGATTTTTTTTTTTCACAAATTTATTTCAAAAATCTAAAATAAAAACACAAACATCTTCAAAAATAAAATAACCGTTGAGAGCATTAGGCAAATTTTTATGCAAAATTTGCACCCCTCGAAGATTTCTCCCTCCGACATTTTTGCATAATGCCAATTCACCCCTGAAAAAAATTTCACCCTTCAAATTTTTTGAATAAAAATTTCCGACAGAAACATTTTTGCAACCGTCAAATTAAGGTGTATACCTACCATACTTTAGCTATTTTAAGACGCCATTTGCAAATCTTCGTTAATAGGTAGGTATTTTCACATTTTTCACAATTTTTTTGGAAGTTTTTCAACATTTTTTTCAAAATGTTTCCCGACTTTTCTAAAAAAAACTCAAAATTAAATTTTTTTTTTTTTAACCGGCAAATTTGGGTAGAACTGAAAAATTACATAGATAACAGCAAAAGTTTATACAAAATGACGTCACAGCGTCTAATAAAAAAAAGAGGCTCCACCCCCTCAAAAAAATCGATAGAGCCCTAAGGGCGAATTTCGCGTAAAATTTCCACTCTAAGGTCGAATTTCGTATAAAGTTTACCGCGAATTCGACCTTACGACTCTGTTGCGACTCCACCCTCTTTTTTCCGCCATAGCTCCCTTATTGATCTTATGTAGAGAATTTTGCTAAGGGAAGTTAAAATGCGTCATGTCGTAGCTTCGTTAATAAGCGTCATAGTGTCATAGTGTGTGTGTGTGACATCTTGAATTTTAGGGAATTGAATTCTCTATTAGATGACGTACTTAATTTTTATGACTGTCATTAACAAAATTTAAGGCAAAGCAAATCATTACCAAAGTTGATTATCTTATACCTATATACCTACTTACCTATACCCGCAGCAAAGTGTTTTCATTTTAAGTACCTATCACATAGAAGAAAAGGGATTAATCTCCCACTAACTAAGTTTTTGCCAAATCGGCTTATGGCCGTTTGCACTGACCATTATTTTAACGATAATCAATGTTCAAAGTGACATTTTTATATCACTTTAAGCGTTGATTATCGTTAAACCTCCCTAAAAATGGACGGTGCAAAAGGCCATTAAAATTTTAGCACGATATTTTTCAGGCCTTTCTCCATCCATTCTCAAAGTTTCATTTTTTTTTTTAGTGGTGCCGCGAGACGAGACTAGACGAGACTTAGGGTTGGTCTCGTCTCGTCTCGACATCTCTAGACGAGACCGTGACTTAGTCTCGGTCTCGAGTACCAAAGTCTCGTCTCGTCTCGAGTGGTCTCGTCTGGTCTCGAGTTATACAGGGTGTCCAAAAAATAGCGTAAAAATTTTTCTTTACGTGGTGAAGGACCCTACAAGGAACCCCAGAAAAATACTTTAAAAAATCTAGTGTTATTCTTAAGAAAGTTATTTGCATTTTAATATTTATTAAATTTGGCAACACTGGAAATATCTCGTTGACAATATGTCAGAGAATTAAATTGAATACCCATGTAACTACCTGAAGAATTCGAAGGTGAATTTTTACATCTACATCTTCATATTACCAAGAATAATGCTGGAGAAGGATTTTTTAAATTTAATTATTTTTCTAGGGTTTCTCAAAGGGCCCTCTACCACGTGGAGAGTTTTTACGCTATTTTTCGGACACCCTGTATTTATGGTTTTTGTTTCTTTATCATAACGGAAGTCCAAACTGTCACAGTGAAAAGGCAATTAGTGAAAAATCACAGTAAAGAGTAACCCTGATATTTAATTTACTGATTTCATATTCAAATAGCCCAGAATAGTCCAATAATAAAGCTATGAAAGAAAAATTTCAAGTATAATCTCGAGACTCGAGACTTCACGAGACGAGACCAAAAGCCAGTCTCGTCTCGAAAAGTCGAGACGAGACGAGACCAGTCTCGGGTCTCGCGGCATCACTATTTTTTTTCTAGAAACCTAGGTACCTAGCAAAGTAACCACTTACCTTATTGGGTATAGATAAATATCCGGAAATTGAGGACAAAATTAATAAAATATATGAACAAAAACATAACTATAAACATAGGTAGGTACTATTTATTTGTGCATCTATCCGTCATTGTTGAGAAGTTCAATTACAAGATCTCTGGGAAGTCGTTAAATTATAAAACTCATCAACTGAGTACCTATAAACATTCAGGTACCTAGAAGTAATTTTTTATCACAATTCTAATTTTTTTAGGAGATAGCACTCTCACAGTAGGTAGCATCAGGCAGCAGAGGCGCCGTCTTCTGGAAATTGGTGTGGGCGCTGGGTGCTCCATCAGGATTCAGGAGCTCAGATAAAAAATTGAAATAATGCGGGTGAAAAAGCGCCGTAGGTGAAACATTTCTCGGGCCACCCCAAAATTTCGTCAGGAATTCACCCAGTTTGATTTAGGTATCCCATATTTGTTCTATTTGCTATTTTTTTTTTCACCATTTTGCGGTTTAATTGAATATTCTACCGTCTTTTGCCATTCTCCTCCCAAACCCTAGTTTTCACAGAAATCAGAAATCACAAACCAGTCGGAGCGAATTTCATTGGTTAAAAATAGTTAGAAAACTGGTTGTTGCCGATTTGCAACAATCAAAAACGCTCTGACTGGTTTGTGATTTCTGTGAGAATGACCTTTAGAATGTAGCGCGCGCCACCTCTTCTATGGACAGCGTCGAGCCGGCAGAGTTGTGTTTTGTGTCTAATATTTTTTACCTTTGATTAGTTCATAAAAAAAATCTTGTTGGATTTCAGTTCACTAGTACTAGTCCGAGTACTAGTCTCTAGTACAGTGGGTGCTCCGCAGTCCGCACCCACAGATGGTCGCTTAGTGGGTGCTCTAGCCCCGGAGCACCCCATGAAGTCGGCGCACCTGGCAGGCAGGGGTGTTGAGTAACTAACTTTGGTCCATAATAATAATAGGTGGTAGAAGCGTTTAAGAGTACGCACTTAATTTTTTTTTTAAATAAAACTGGAACAAACAAAAATAAATAAAACATGTAGGGAGCGACCAAATATATACTCTTGACTAATAAAAAAAACCAGTTTAAATGAAATTATTTTTACATTAAAATGAAATATGACTTTTTAAAAAAATACAAATTCGTACCTACTCTTAGCTCCGCAGCTGCAAAAAGTACGCAAAGGATGGGCTAAGAGTACCTACGTCTATCAATTCTTGTGTAAATTTCAACCTACGATTTGTTTTTATTTTATATTTTCTCATTTTCAGATCACCTTGTTATCCTGAAATTCATATTCGCAAATCAATTGAAGCTTGAACAATCAAGCAATTTCAAAAAATAACTATTTATGTGGCAAAGGGTATACGCACTTAAATTTTGCGTACTCTTTGGGTGCGTAGATACTCTTATCTCCTCGTTCAACATTTCGGATATCTTTTAATAAATATGCTATGTAGCCAACAATATCGGAATGTTTTTATGTGAATTTGTAGCTTAATAAACGTTGTATTTAACTTTTAATAGATATTTTCGAACAAAAGTTTCCGTATACGATACGAAACCTTAAATTCACAGGAAATCACGTGTAGATACATAAGCCTCCACAAATCGCCATATTGGTTTTATTCCGCAGTGTTGCCATATGACCAATTTACGGGTTGCGTACCTACTCTTAAGGAACGCGTACTCTTAGGCGCTCCTATACCTACCTGCTGATATTTACGTACTCTATAGGTATTACGAGTGGAATGGATGCTTTCATGTGTTTAACTATTCCTCAATATACATACCTACCTAATTTTAGAGCTTAGCATTTCCTCAATCGGTAATGCTTCGAAAAAAATATTCCAAAACTAATTTTATAGCAAGAATGTAGATGAAATGCTAATTTTTGTTATTCCACTTACGGCCCTCAGCGAGTTATTACGCAAATCGACTTTTTTTCATTCTTGAAAACCTTCATAACTTTGTTCTTGTAAGCGCTATAAAGTCATTAGTCATAGGACTTGCATTAAGGAGCAAGGAGCACAA